TTGCTAGTAGACATTTCGTCATTCCCTGCAATAATAAAAGAATGTAAAAAAAAATACAATTTCTACTTTTGGATGAGCTGTCTCTTTAAGAACAGGGAAATCTATTTTTAAAGTAAAATATTAAAAAAACGACAATATATGATATCATACATAAGACATTAGGTGCGTTCGACGCGAAGCACGGCTGTAGCCGTTGATCAACAGGATTAGCCGTGTGCAGACGGGGTGGAGTTGACAACGGAGTCGTCAAGCCAGACACTTAAGGGGCTCAAAGTTGCAGCAGTCATGATGACCGATCACATGGCGTGATCATTTATTTACTTATTTTTACTGTAATAACAACAAAAAAATTACAGTACAAATAAAACAGAATACAGTCTCTACAAAGTATAGGTAATTTTTAAACAAGGGAATTATGTATTAAATTTAAGTAGCCGATATACCAAACGCATGAAAAATGAGGGGAAAATGAAAGGGCACATAAAAAAGAAATAAATATCCACGTTAAGGCCTATAAACACAAAGCAGTAAGCACATATTCTAGGAGTTAAAGCATCAGTCTTTAGGCTACTAGATGTTGAATGGGACGTCAATACTATTCCAGTTCTTGTTTGAATATGCTAAAAAAAAGGGGGTTTACTTTTATTTACATTTATAAATATGAAACTTTCTAATATATATTAGTGTAAAACCTAAAACAAGTAGTTTTGTTTAAGTCTTTAACAATAATTAAGTTTATTTTGGATAATGAAAGCATTTTTAAAAAAGCACTTTAATCCAAAAAGATTGAACAAAAGGAGCAAAATAAATGAGCTTCACTTTAAGTTGAAATTTCCCAGAAAGAGCAGGTACATTAACATTTTTAACATTTCTGCATAAACGGCTTGACAAGAAATAAATATTTATATATTTTATTTGTTAAGGAATCTTTATAGGGGTGTCAGGATCAATCATGATTATTTTATTACAGGTCTGTAAGACTTATTTGAGTTAATATTTAGGTTGTTTACTAAAATATATTATTTAAATCGTTTATGGAGCTGAATACGTCATTTGCGCGTATCGCACCGCAGGATGTCTATTCACGCTTTTGCATTGACTTAACATGTAAATCACTTGCGCTTGATGCGCGTTCCACGTCTGGTGTGATCGCAGCATAACAGTCACATGGCGTCGGCGCAGCATCAATCTGGACAAAATTTCTAACTGGCATGCACTGCTTTAAGACAGATTTCGATCAATCTGTGCAGCGCTGAAGTCGAACGCACCTAGTCACTTCTACTGTATTCTATATAAAACCACTATTTTAAAAGTTTAAAATAGTTACAGAACTAAATCAGTAATATAGTAAAAAGAAGTATTTGCAGTTGATAACTTGTTTTTAAACTGTAATTAACTTAAACTGTAATTAGATAATCCTGAAAATGTTTTGTTTCAAACTACTGAAATAATGTCAATAAATATCACAAACACTCATGTGACTCTTAATTAATGAACTTTTTCCCAGTGTTTTCTAGTCAGCAGTGGGTAAAGCTTTACAATAAGGTTCATGCATTTACTAAAATGAACAATACATTTATTACAGTATTTATTAATTTTTGCTAATGTAACTGAAAGAAAATGTACTCGTTCGTTGTTAGTCCTTGTAAATTTTACATTAATAATATTAACTATACAACTTTAATAATGCATTAGCACATGTGGAATTTAACATTAGCTCAATACATGATGTAGAAGTATTTTTCACTTTTAACTCATGATAGTAAATTATATTATTACTAACAGGTTTTGTTGCATATTCCAAAACCTTGCCTATGTTATGTAATGCTTAGCTAATCCCAATATGGTAGACAGTACTGTTTTGAGATATTAAAAGACGGTTGATTTATTAAAGACATCTGTCATTAAACAGCAATTAAGCTAAGCTCCCTTTATCAGAATTTGTGACAAACAGATATTTAAAAAACGGTGTTGGCAAAATGCACACACAACAGTGACAGTATATCTGTTAAGAGTTTAAGACACTAATTGTGATCTAAACTAAAGCATGTGGCAGTAACACATTTTGCTGTGTCATTGCAAATCTGTTATAGAGGGCAGATTCAGTGCTGCACTGTACAACAATGTTCAAATTAGTTATGTTAGTTAATGCAATTACTAACATGAACAATACTTGTACAGCAAATATTATAATTTAGGCTTGATAAAATTAGTAATGCACTATGAGTTAACTTGAACAAATTTATTTTCATAAATTAACGTAAGAGATTATATAAACTTTGCTGTAAAAGTATTGTTTAATGTCTGTTCATAACATTAACTAATTCAACCTCATTGTAAAGTGTTTCCCTGTCGTTATAGTATTTTGAGCCATTTTAAACATTTTAGATGTATATTTTTTCATTCTTTTAATTTTTATTGATTTATTTATTTTTAATAAAGTTCAGAGGGCAACGCAGTGGCGCAGAAAGTAGTGCTGTCGCCTCACAGCAAGAAGGTCGCTGGTTCGAGCCTCGGCCTGGTCAGTTTGCGTTTCTGTGTGGAGTTTGCATTTGCATGGGTTTCCTCTGGGTGCTCCAGTTTACCCCACAATCCAAAGAAATGCAGTACATGTGAATTGGGTATAAATTATCTGTAGTGTTTGAGTGTGAATGAGTGTGTATAGATGTTTCCCAGAGATGGGTTGCAGCTGGAAGGGCATTTGCTGCGTAAAACATGTGCTGGATAAGTTGGCGGTTCATTCTGCTGTGGCGACACCGGATTAATAAAGGGACTAAGCCAAAAAGAAAATGAATGAATAAAGTTCAGAAAATCATAATGCTGAACCTTAAAATAAATTCTGGATGAATGAAATTATAGTGGGGTGGCATGGTGGCTCAGTTGTTAGCACTGTCGCCTCACGAAGGAAAATTAATTAATAAATTTATAGTAAATTTATAACAAAACACCCTAAAACGAACTCAATAAATCAATTACTTTTTGGGGGGTGGTAATCTATGTAAAGTGGTACATAAAACAATCCCAACATTTTTAATTCTAATACAAATTAAATGTTCTATTAATAGTTACCACACCTAGACATTGTTCAGATGTTGCATTTCAAGATAATTGTCAAGTTTGTTCCTCAATCTTCTCTTGTAAGACTAGATTCTTATGCATGCCATTTAAAGCCTGCACACCTTAGAATGTCCATCAGCCAAGATTACAATAACCTGCTGTAGTATTAACTGATAAAATCATTCATCCTTTTATAGATTAGCTAGGATTTGCAGTATACATTCTCTTTAAATTATTTGTTCTCAGAAAAAACAAAGCATCAATAAATTATTATATAATATTATATAACACCTAAATAAGCAACTAAGAAATTTTGAATAAATTAATTTAAGAAAGTGTTTGTGATAGATAATAATACCTAAAATCTCATTCTGTAAGAAAAAGCATCTACCAAATGATTAAACGAATGGAAGTGCAACATTTTCTAAAGATCTCAGAATCTAAATGTTTTCTTACAGGTTTGGCTTGCATAGGGGAGGCTAATGCTTAGCTCAGATTAAATGTTTTCCATACATTTTCATTGCTGTGGGGACTATCACTTTAACACCACTTGTTTTTTTTACATAATTGTTTCCTTAAACATTTATCTCTGGAGATGTGAAAGGTTTGACCTCCACAACCACTGCAATAATCCAAAAGGAAATCACACTTCAATCAAATTGACTTCTTCCGAGGTGCAAAATGCATACAAGTAATATTTGAGTCCTCAGAATTGAATGCATTTTTATTTTCATGAGTTTTAAGTTAACATTGATATAATTATTATTTTGCAATCTGCATTATAATGGCTATGACTAGGCCCACACGGAATCTGCGCACGCAGATTTTCTGCAGATTTCCGCAGATTTTTAGTCCATCGTTAATTCTGTTTATTTACTTGAGTAAATGTGTGTAAATCTATAATTATTCAGTTTTTTAAATAATTACAGTAATATTATTGACTAATATAAAATTTTTCATCTGATTTATGTACAATGCAGTGTGTAGGGTAATATTTTCTGTCTTTTAGTAGATATATTAAATAACAGAATTGCTTATTTTACCAAGTAAAGTGGATATAAATGCATTTGCATTGTAAACATTAAATAAAACTTAAATAGATATTAAGGTTTTACGATACTCCCAAAATAATTCTGCAGAAATCCGCAGATTTTTACCAAAATTCTCCGCAGAAATAGCAAAAACACATCTGCAGATTCTGTCTGGCCCTAGCTATGACTAAATAAATATGCATAATATGGTTTATAAAGGCTTTTGCTGTTATAAATCACACCAACAGGGGGCGGATGAGCTCAATGATATTCTACTCTTCTAAAATTGTTGAACAAATTATATTATCACACTGTTAATGACTTTATTAAAATTAAGAGGTTATTTGCAGATTTCAAATGACCAACAATGACCCATTTACTAATTACCCACATAAGAAAACATGTCATTTATAGTAAATACAGTGCTTTGATCCATAGTAGGCTACTTGAATAATCTGTTGTAGAATTTATAGTTTCTATGATAATACAATAACGAATTACCTAATACTGTAGTTTTCTATAAGGTATATTATACTAATAAAAACAATATTGTACTGTACATGAATAAAGTATTTAATGAGGGAAACAGAAGAAAACCAAAATGTGTGTAGATAAAAGAATTTGCTTTAAAAAGCAGATGTGATAGCATTACAAGAGATTCAAATTTCCTTGTGATGCAAATGCTATTAAAAGCTTTAATAAAATCAAATCAGCTTGTTCTATATATGCATGCCTCTGGGTTTTCTGGGTTTGCTGTCCATTTTGGCTTTTGCTCTCTCAGTTTCCAGAAATGATTATTAGCAGCTTTCACATCCTCTAACAACTTCTCGGTCATGTTCTCGTGTGTGTGAGATGCCTGTCTGTCCGCCCCCGTGACAAACCCCTGACGCCTTCATCCGGGACTTTTCCGCCAGAACACTCTCCAACATGGCGGCGTCAGGTGAGAATAATGCGCTCTGCCTTCGTTTGTTGGCTTCTTTGCAAAACAGATCAAAACAAATTTATATAACACTCTTGGGTTCAACCATAACGATTACGGCATGTACAATATGCGTTTTGATGAAACACGGCTCTTCAAAATATACTAGGGGAAGCGCAAAGCATGAAGGATTAGTTGTATTGGGAAGCCTTATGCTCAAATGAATTAGCCAATATGCTAGCGGCCAAAGCATGCGCCTCCCCTATTCTGTTTTTATTTGGAGTTTTAGGACTGGACAAGACTTCGCTAACGGATGTTCGGGTGATTTAATGTGCTTGATAGTTAATATGATTAACACACGTAAAGTTTTTATATTATGATAAGTGCATGAAGTTCTGGATGGTGCTAATAACCCGTGCTTGGCGCGCATGCGCAGAATGTTGCATAGGAGGGACGAGGTCACCACGTGCGTGGCGGAGACGCGGATATAGAGCTGAAATGGACGTTCCCCTATGATTATAAAACAACGATGTTGTAATGATAGGGGTTGAGTCACCTAAGTGCATCCGTTAGCTCGTGTTCACCATAAATATTTGTTCGTGTGCAGTTTTCACTCGTTTCTGTGTTTTCAGATGAACATTCATTAACTTGTTGGTATGTCGTAGCCTATTAATTCATGATCAAATATAAGTTAGTTTATCCTCTGCTCATATCTCTGTGTCAAGACCATATGTAGCTTATTAATATTGTTTAAAGTGATCATTTACTCAACGAAGACGTGATCGTAATTTTCTCCAGGCCATGTGAGATGTTGGCGATTCACCTTTTATTTTGTTTTAGCTTGAAACTGATACTTAAATCCATGAAATGTCAGACAAAAAGAGAATCCAACGGTCCTGTCAATACCTCGAGGTCTTATTAAATAATGTTTTGATGGGGTGTACATCATGAATGCGGCTTTTTTGGTAACAGTGTAACGTTATGCTCACGTTATTACTGCTTTCCAGGCCGTCATGAACGTTCTTAGGACAGTTTGTTGTGCGGTGTTTAAATGTAACAATGTTGCTTGTTCAAACCGTTGTTTTGCTCAGTATATTGCCAGTAATGGACATACATTTTGTTGTGCAAGTAGCATTTCTACTGCACATAGCTTTTGACTTGCATTTTATAAATCATCTAGAACAGTGGATCTCAAACTTTTTTCATCAAGTACCACCTCAGGGGGAAAAAAAGTCTCTCCAAGTACCATCATAATGACCAGTATTGAAATACAGTAACGTAACTACTCACTCAAAATGTCAACATTTAAATTAAAATGTGCTTTTAAAAGTTAAAAATGATAGGTTACTGTTATTAAAAAGTAAAAAAAAAACTCCTTTACTCCTGTAAAGTATTAACATAGTAGCCTATTTATCAACACCTGTAAACATGGGCTACATGTCATCATATTCATATATAAATCATTTTTTAAATATATTTTTAAATATATGTAGCATGTACATATAACATACTTGATTCCTTCGCGTACCACTAGAAGGAAGCCCACGTACCACTAGTGGTACACGTACCACAGTTGGAGAATCACTGACCTAGAACAACAGTTTGCAAATCAATGGCATCCTTTGACACCAGTGACATTATAAAAGTGTTTTTAGGCAAGTCCATCAACGTATAAGATTCTGACGGTATGAAAACCTTGGTTAAAATATTTTTTTTTTATGGTATTGCATTTACTGCGTTATTTTTTAAATATCTTGGTAAAAATACATTTTTTCCCCATTTGAACACAATATATTTTTTTTTGAGAAATATTTAAAACATTTTGAATTAGTAAACATGTATGAATTATAGATTTCTGCTGTTTTTATTAGTATTAAACGGATACTACAGATTTCTTCACAATTTAAAACAGCATCATTGGATATTTCAGCTGAAAGTACTGTTGTCTAAAAAAAAAAAACTTCAATACATGTACTGTAGGAACGGTATAGCAGAAAATATTGCTGGTTTTAAAGCTTTGACTTTTCCAAACCGTGGTATACCTTGAAAACGGTTGTTGTCCCATGCCTACATCTAATACAGGAACAGTATGTGTGTGCTTTCTCACCTCTTCAGTTTGTGTCATTAGTACTTTTTTGCACTTGGGGGTGACATTGCTTAACATTTTGTGAGAGGTGTAAAAACAATTAGCATCTTTTATGGATTTTGCATTTACATGAAGGGCGTTGAGAGGTTCCTACAATTCCAGGTAATTACAAGTAAAACTTTGCACTTTTAAAGATTGTGAGAACGTCTTTGAATAATATATTATTGCTTATTCATTTGGGCATAGTCATGCTTTGCCTGTTATCTCTAACACCATGTCCTAGCTAGGGTGGGGACCTTCAAATCATAATCTTATTCTGAATGTTACAGTTCGCGTGAAATGAACATTGTCCTACTCTTCACAGTTCTGTTTTCTGAACGCATGTTATTGATTTTGGGAACTTTATTTATGGGATAAGTTTGCGCTGATGGAAATTGTAGCAGTAAAATGTTTTTGGTTGTCTGTACATAACTTTTTTGCTTTATATATGTTGTTATTTTTTATTTATATGATGTTTTTTATTAGGGATCCTAAATCTGATTCAGGTCAGATATTTTGCAATGTGACCTCAGTCTGAACCACTATTCTGAGTTCACGTGACTTTTATGTCACTGTAGATTGACTTTTGCCATATTTCCGGCCTCTCTGTGTAGAAGCACAGTGAAGTGTTTAAATACATTTATACGTGTTTGAATACACAGCTATACATAATAAATTAAGTTTAAGGAAATATTCTATTATAAAAGCATTCCAACTTCACTCTTCGTCCTCTTTATCTTGTGATTCAATTATTATTTAATAAAAAAACATAAAACTAACTTCAGTTGCCTCAGTGTTTACCTCCAAATGATGGCGTGATGCGGTCTGAAGATCTTTCTTTTGCATGTACAGGTCAGTTCAGGATTGTAATCAGTTCATGCCAAATCTGATACTAGCCAAACTAAACAAAAAAAAAATCTGATCTGTACAATAAATCAAAATCCAGCATAGAAAAAGAACCTTTTAAATCTTCACCACATGTTAAAGTTCCACTGCAAGCTCATATTCACACATGTTTGTCACAATATGAAAGAATAAAATCTATCACTGCTGTCATTTCCCTCTGACATAATGCATAAGTTTGTCTAAAAACTAGTAATCTTAGCATGTTTTTATTTTCTTTAGCTAAGAAGAATAAGAAGAAGGGGAAGACCCTGACTCTCAATGATTTTCTTGCTGATGAAAGTGGTGGCAATGCACCTCCCAGTTTCCCCACCACAAAGGCCACCAGCTGGGCCGACGAGACTGATGACTTGGAAGGAGATGGTGAGTAAAGGCTGGAATTTCATTTTTAAAATCCAAACAGCCTAGATTCTTTTAGTAACATGACAAAATAAAACAATTTGTGTAAATGTATCAACCGGAAATGAGATGGAATCATTGGCTCTGTTTCCACTGGTTTTATCATGCATTTTCAGGGATTTGCTCACAAATTGTCTGACTCATTTTTGTTTCCATCTGTTAATCCGCTTTTTAAGACGTATGGTATACTGTTTCTGGGTTCAAGCTGCTACTCGTTAGAATTAGGAAAATATTTGTGACCACTTTTTAGTCATATCACACATGAAAGTGAATTTCATATAAAATCATAGTGTACAGAACAGTCTCTGAACTAGCTGCGTCACAGACACCAATATTTTAACATAAAAAATACATAAAATAAAAATATTCTTTCTAAAAAAAATTAATCACTTTCTAGCCATCAGATATTAGGCATGGAGATATATATAGGTGTATATATATTTATACATTTATTATTACTATTTGAGTCTCCCCATACAGTTTGATAGAGGGCTTTGACCAAGAAGTCGCTTCGCATGACGTCACACTTAACAAGCAGACAACATGCATTAAAAAAGCATTTCTTTTTACTAGTTGTTTATGTTTCATGAATCCATGTTACTCTGCTTGTGCGAAAGCAAGCGATTGAAAAGGACATGATTGGCCACTACACTTTTGATCATAATCTGTGGGTGCTTCTCAAGTCTTATTTGTGCATCTTTGTTTCCTCCCTCTCTTTGCCACCCCCTCAGGATTTGAGAGAAAGTTGCAAGGAAAAGATGTGAGGATGGAGGAGTTAAATCGAGTGAAATAATATATCCTTTAGTAACACTTGAAAGCGTCATCATTTAATAAATACTGAACACAACTGATTTTGCTTACAAGTCAGGATTCTCGAATATTAGAGATTAATATTTATATTCTAACGGCTTCAACCGTCCACAAAACACCATATTTGGATGTTTTTTTTATTTGTTGTTATTAGCAATGAATTATTGACGGGTATTATTAACTGCATTTTTATATTATATCTTAATAGTACATTACATTAAAATTAAAGGAACTGTTGAAGCAGCGCACATTAACAATAACTTGATGCTTATTCACATTAACTGTGTATCCTTGCTTACGAAGCCTCCTTGATCCTCAGTCAGAACTGGTCCATCTGGCAAGACTTTTTAGAACTGTTTGCTATTCCATGGGCAAGAGAGCTGCCGTTAAACCTGGTCAGATGGTGGTTTTGAACCATCATGCTTTATTTAATCTAGGTTTTGACACACCATCTATGTTAAGTTGCTATTATGTTTATAACATAATTTACATTGGCATCCAAACAGAGCAAATACAAATGTGTCTGAGCAGCATGCTGTAGTTTTTTTATAGACAAGTTAAGCTGCCATTTTAAATGTGGTGCTCAAAACAATTTCTCTTTGTCTTGTTGGCCACATCAACCCCGGAGGCTAAATGTAACTTTAAACAAGATCTGGTGTATTTTGAGATCTTCTCAAAGAAATCCTGTTCTGTGGTGTTTCATTGTCTTCCTCTATAGTTTCAACTTCCTGGCATACTGTGGAGGACACGTATCGAGCTCCTCCCATTGATCGTTCCATCCTGCCAACTGCGCCCCGTGCAGCACGAGAGCCAAACGTCGACCGCTCTCGACTGCCCCGCAGCCCGCCTTACACCGCCTTCCTCGGTAACCTGCCCTACGACGTGAGTGAGGAATCCATCCGGGACTTCTTCAGAGGCCTTGCGGTCAGTAAGATCATATGCATCTTTATAAACCAGATGCTTGGACAACATGCATACTTTTTCACAATAGTATTGAAGGGAGTGTTTGCATTAGCACTTGATGGATGCAGAATATGTGTAACTGTATGTGTTTCATGTGTGTTTGTGTTTTCAGATCAGTGCAGTACGCTTGCCACGGGAGCCAAATAACCCAGAGAGACTTAAGGGTTTTGGTTATGCTGAATTTGATGATATTGAATCACTTTTGCGTGCTCTCAGTCTAAATGAAGAGGTGGGTGTTTAATCAAATTTAAGCTTAATACATTGATTTTTTTTTTTCTGCTTTTTTTATTTTTATTAAATGTTCATTAAATGTGTGTAGAATCTTGGCAACAGACGTATCCGAGTGGATATCGCAGATCAGTCCAATGACAAAGGTGAATTGATAATATACAAACTTTAACAAATTGTCTTTAGTTTTGTAAGAGTATTTTTCTTGACTAAAGTTATTGTCATGTTTCTATAGAGCGGGACAGTGGAATGATGTCAGGCCGAGACAGGGATAGAGATCGTGGCCGTGGGATGGACAGTGGTCCTGATAAGACTGATTCTGATTGGAGGGCACGGCCAAGCTCAGACCAAGATGATGGCCCACGCAAAGATGATGGATATGGGGACAGTAAGTCGGACAGATGCACAGTTAATGTCATGCTTAAAACAGGTTTTTTTTAGGTTGTAGAATGACTATTATTGAAATTAAATTCACTAAATCCAATTTGTGACTTATGTCAAAATAAGTTGACTATAAAACATTTTAATACTATGTAAATTTTGAAACAATATAACAATAAACTAAGATATAATAATTTAGATAGAAAGATAGAATAATTTTTTTTGCCACGTCTTCGATCTTTTGGAGCATCGAAAAAATTCTTGAATAATTTTTTATGTCTGTACTCATATGTGTTCTGCAGTATTGTGTGGTATGCAAGTCCGTCTGTGTCTAAAAACAAAGTTGATGAACCAGATTAAAATCTGTTTAAAGATAGTAGGAAAGCTTTTTGAGAAATTATTTCACTGTTCATATTACAAGAACCTCAAAAGGCTGGCAGGGAACATCATTTCAAACCCTAGTCATGTGTTAAATCATGAATTTATACCATTATAGTCTAACCATCGATTTAGAGTCCCTAGTTTTAAAGGGCCATGAAATCCCTCTGTTTCAGCAGGGTTTTTTCACACCTCTACTTTGGAAAAAGTCAAGAAAGTGATCGTGTCCAGCTCTGTTTAGGGGGGAGTGTCTGAGGAGGGAAAAGGCAAGGTCCGTAAAAATTTGCATAAAAATGGTATTGCCGGTTTGGGCACGCGCTGATTTTCACAGTCAAAATAAACACAGAGGAGAAAGACAGTGACTGTGTTTACATGGACCTCAGTAATCAAATTATTTGCCAAATTATTAAATGGTGGACTTTAACTGCAGTTTGGCTCTTTCATTCAGGAATTTCATTCATGCCCCTCGTGACGAACGAGATATTTGATTTGTGGAATTGCTGGAATTGTGTAGCTTTCATGCAATGTTTGTTACCGCACGGCGAATGAGAGAAAAACGCCTTCCGCATTTCTCTGTAATGTAGATTCACTCGGTAGGTAGCGTCAGAAAGCCGTGTGTGTTACTCCTGTCACAAAATGCAGCGAAAATCCTCCTTGAGGGTAAGTTTGGTTGTGGTGCTTACATGTTTACACTCGGAGAGCAGCATTTACAGCACTTTTTACAGTCCATAATATTGTAGTGATATTAAAGTACGGTAAACTTTATTAACTTAAGAAATAATTTGACAAAGGTCTGTCTTAAAACACTGAGAGAGAGAACTGCTGACGATAACTTTGCCTCTGAATAAACAAACAAAGACCACTGGTCGCTCACTTACCAAATCTGTAGAGACAGGACAATTAACAGCAACTAGAGCTGCGTCTTCATTAAAAGGAGATGAGCGGCAAATCCGGATTTCACCATTTCCAGATGAGAAAAGCTCTTGGGTAAAAAATGTTACTCAGACATGAATTTTTGTCACGCTTGCATGCACAGTAATCCACATGTGAGTACAGCTGTGCTCTCATAGAGAGAAAATGAAAACAAAACCTTCACTGCAACAAATTATAAAAGCAGCACTGATGACCCGTATCTCCAAACAATTCATGTTCTCCCGCTTGGCAACACAACGTGGCATCTCTCTGCCGTCTAAACACTGTAACTGGTTAAACAGTCTTGGAAGCTATCATGCATATTAATGAAGTTGCACCGCATACCCAATAGAGCGCGTGGATTGGTTTGAACCAAGTCTTGAATGAATGCAGCACACTCAGAGACGTAACAAGGAACTCCCAGGTACAGATGTCCAGTGTACACGCTGGAATACATACTAAGATCTCATGGCCGTGATGCAGCTTCGAAAATTTGTTTCAAACCGGAAGTATGACTTTGCTCAAAATAACGCAAAAACAACCAATTTTCACTTTTTAGTGAAATATAGGTGTCCTAATAGTGTTTTTAGCAGTGTGGGACACATATACGACTGTCAACAGCTCAAAAAAATGTGTTTTGGTGTTTTGTGACCCTTTAATAAAGTGCAGTTAAAAAGACATTTGTACATTTTATTATGTCTTGGAGCTGAATAAAGCCAGTGTAAAATAAAATCTTTATTTATTTATTTTTTTGGGAGGTCTTTGGCTCTTTGTAAGCATTTTATCATGCTTTTATGCAAGAAAAAATTCAGATGCAAATCTGACAATGAATTATTGTAATATTAGACAATGTTTTTATTAGGAAAATATTTTTAGGAATTTTTTAAAAAGGTGTCTTTTGGAGGACTTTTAGACCTAATTTGGGTTGGGTACCGAAACCCGCTGCCATTATAGCACCGGTACCTTGGTAACTGGTATGTACCGGTATTAAATCAGCATATAAATTTCTGTGCCTAATTTCGGTGCTGCAGCAAGGACGTGAGGGGTGCATGAAAAAAGACACACATAGGCGTTGTCACAGCATCATTAAACATTTAATTCTAAACAACTTTGAGGAATACGGACAGGCGATATCAGGCTATTGTTATTGTAACTAGGGAACAGACGCACGCAACGTGCGCAGTACAGCGCATTCAGCCTGGTTTTTCAGCGATTTTCGGTGAGCAAGAGCGACACTCTTCAGATCAACACACATGATCACGTTCATTCAATTTGCTTAAACTAAGGATTCTAAAGCGTATTTTAAAAGCAAGGATTCTGACACAGCAACTGTCTTTACAAAAGTTGCGTGTAAGGGGGAAACATGTCAAACTTAATGATACATTTAAGGGCTCAAAGGCAGAGCCTCTCTCGCGTGCTTTAGGTGTCACGAGCAATCGCTCCCTCAAGCATTTGCTTATGCTCGCCCCCTCTGTTTTCGCGGCACTTGCTATCTCTGTGACGGTGCTGCACGCATCAGTTCCCCGCATTCGTCAGAAGTTAACGCCCAAATTGACACAGGTAATAAAAAGATTAAACTTCAGTCATGTTGTGAAACACTATCAAAATGTCCACAGTTGATGATACTAGACTTATGTTTTCAGTAGCGATTTTAACACTGTTAATATAGGAAGTCCTCTGCTATGCAGAGACCATTATTAATCAAAAATCTAGTGTACATAGTTTAACGTTTGTAAATGCAGTCTTGAATTTACAGTTGGCAAGTACCAAAGAACAGATCTAACACATGATCAATGTAGTTTTCAGTCACGCTCATGTAAGTCGTATTCAACTCGTTTAGTTTTGCCTTCTTTCATTTTTCATATCTGTCTTCAACACAGAATTTATTTACAACACATTTGTAAACATATTAGTTTAAATAACTCGTTTCTAATATCTACTGTTTTATCTTCCCCTTGCTGACAGTCAGTGCATAATATTTTACTAGTTATTTTGCAGACAAAGTCCCTTTAAGTATTTTCTAGTTTTTTTATTAAGATAAAAGTGTAATTCAGACTTAATCAGTCAACTACGAAAGTTAAAATAATTAGTCAAATTATTTTGTAACTGATTTGTTGTGTAAATCAAAAATATACAGTAAATATTTCTTAAGGAGGATAATAATACTGACCTTATTTTTATTTAAATTAAAAACAGCTTTTATTCACAAAATAAACAATAAGAAATAGAACTTATTATGACTCCAGAATAATTATTTTTTAGGAAACACTGTAAAAATTTTCAGAAACATTATTTTAAATGAAAGGGAGGGCAAAATAAAAGGACTTCAACTGTAGGCCTGTTAAAGTTTACAGCTGCAACAATGTGCCTTGATGTACTTGAATGTTAGAAATGTGTTCTCCTACACCAGTATAACGTTACTTGTCAAATAAATGAACAAGGAAGATTATTTTGAGTTTAATCTTTAATCCTTTAATCTTGTTTATGAAGACTGCAGAGTGATGCATGAAAACAAATGACTTCGAATAATGTTTTAAGTATTTTGTGATAAGTTAAAATGTGCTCCTAAAAGTATGTGGTTAAGTGTACAGGTTAATAACCACGTAGCTAATGTAATTTCATAATGCAAATCTTAAATTCATGCTAACCAACAAATGATCAAAGGAAATGTATTAATGTAATACAATATGAATTGATGTTTACTTTAAACTGTCATTATATTGTTCTATTAAAATTATTAAAAAAAAAAAAATTTTGTCAAATAAAATATTTTTGAAGAGGTATCCATTATCATTTTGTGGCTAAAAAGTATCGGTTCAGGCACCGTTTTGGCACCGGTATCGTTTTAAAAGTATCGATTTAGCACCGGTATCGAAAAAAAAAAACGATACCCAACCCTACCTTTAATATGACCTTTTTTGTCAATGTTGTCATTTGTGTGTTTTTAGCATAATACTTGTTAATTAAGAAACTAATGATATATTTTGGTATTTATTACCAATGTTGCTCGAAATATAGCCAATGCTGCTGATTTGGCAATATTACATGCATACATGCATTTAGATAAAATTTCGCCGAAGTGTTCATGTCAAAACCCACTGTAGTTTAAACCTTTTATTAGACTAATTTGTCTACCCAATTTGTCAAAGCAGACTTGCATCATATCAGTTTGTTCTTTGATTTAGCTTATCAGGATCCTAATGGTGCTGTTTTTGGCAGTCAATGTTTATTATCAGTGACATGCTGTTGTCTCTTTGCAGAGTCGCGTGACCGCTACGAGTCAGACAGGTTCAGAGATGGTCCACGGCGTGATGATCGCTTCAGTGGTAGAGATCGCTACGATGACAGGGATCGAAAAGATCGTTATGATGACAGAGACCGAAGGGATCGCTTCGATGACAGAGGCAGCAGAGACTATGATCGTGGAGGTTGGCTGACACAGTTCACTTTTATTATGTGAAGTCCACCATGAATGCTAGTTAAATTTTTGGTGTACATGCATATTTTAGTTTGCGTTATAACTAATCGTTTGTTCATGTGATTGTGTTAGGTTTTGATTCACGTGGTGGAGGACGTCGGGGATTCAGCAGTGGCTTCAGACGGGACTATGAGGACCGGCGAGATGGAGATCGCTTTGGAGATAGGGAGGACAGGAGGGATGAAGGCAGAGAAGAGAGGGGTAGATTGAAACACTAAAGATACAACTTAATCAAAAGTGTAGCACGTCTCTATTCTGATTGTCTAATTTTTTTTGTTTTAGGTCCTCCACAGAGGCCCAAGTTAAATCTGAAGCCACGGAGCATCCCGAAAGAAGAGGAGCAGAGTGGAAGCGTGTCCCCCCAGAGCAACCCGACAAATACCAGCAGGGCCTCCTCTATATTTGGAGCAGCCAAGCCTGTGGACACAGCTGCTAAAGAAAGAGAGGTGGAGGAGAGACTGAAGAAAGAACAAGAGCGCCTCCAGAGACAACTGGAGGAGGACAAGAACAGGCCCTCAGAGAGACGGCCACGAGACAGGTGAGATGGGCCCAGTAAATGGGGTGATGTGAAACTTGCCTGCTTCATGTCTAGGCCATCATCTTGGAACCTGCACATCAGAATAATTAATCAAACCAGCCAACATGCAAATTTTCACTTAAAGAATGAAAAAAGTGGCTAGGTTAGATTCGTTTAAACTTTGTATGTTTTAAAAAAAAAAACAGGGCACAGAAAAAAGCACACATTATTATAGATCTCATACAAAACATTCTGACATTACTTAAGCTACATATACTACATTACATAGTTCAGGATCTTCTGGAGTCTCTAAGGGTGCTTTCACACCTGTGAATCGATTCAGTTGTTCCGAAACAGAGATTAAAATTGTTACATTGTTGCTCTTTGCTCTTGGAGCGGTTCGCTTTCCCACTGCAAAGTTTCTAATCGGACCAAAAGAGCTAAAACAAGTCACGTGCGAGTAAAATCTCCTTACATTGGTCAGAGTGTCAGGGTTTATTTTGCAGCGTCCCGCTCAGCTGTCAGGAGAGGTGGTGGTTTGGTGGTGATTGACAGGGTGCGCGCGCGACGTGTCTGAGGAGAGACACGGTGGGGAGGGGTGAGAAGGGTGCGCGACGATGCCTATTTGAGGACTGAGAGAGACGCGAGATTACCGGGAGATCATCCCTCGTTTGCGGGCATCCGGAGACTCGCGAAACTTCCCGCCCTACTCATAATTCTCTCTTCATATAGCCGTAAGCCTATTACATATCCATAAAACACTGTGATATAACCGCGCTCGGATCGGATCGCTTTCTCACTGCAATCGAACCGCTCCAGGGTTCGTTTCAATCGAGCCGAGACCACCTCATTCAAGCGATCTCGGAGCGATTACTTTGGCGCGGAACAGAGCGCGATTGCCCTGTTCACATATGCCAATCGAACCGCGCTAACTGGGCAAACGAGATACGTTCCGAAACAAAAGTGTAGGTGTGAAAGCACCCTTAAAAAGTAACTTGTTAATTATGATATAAAGGTAACTGAAAGATTTCAATGGTTGACTTTTTTTTTCAGAGACCCGAGTTGGAGAAGTGAAGAGCCACCTAAAGAGCGCCAACACACAGGAAGTGAATCTTCACATCCTAAAGGTAATACACTAATGTTCCTAGTAGATTTTTTTTTATGGCTATATCAAAAACTTTATATGTATGTCATGCAGAAAAACTACACAATCTTAAATGCTGTATAGATATGTATATTCCACTGTTTCCATGTAAATCACAAAGGCATAAAACAAAATTACTGAATATTAAAAAAATTGAAATGAAAATAGAAAAATCCACTGTAAATCTTAAAGGGTAGCTCACTCAAAACTGAAAATTCTGTCGTTTTGTTTTTTTCTGTTACACGCAAAGTCATTTACTTTGGAAAATCACAGAAACCTGTAAGCATTGACTCTCATAAAATTAGCTTTTCCTGCTGTGGAAGTAAATGGTTACAGGTTTTTAAAAAATGTTTTCTATATTTGTTTGTGTTACACAAAATGTAAATATTTGTTTTCAACAAAGTAAAGAAACTAGGGAGATTAAATGGTGAGTAAATGTTTATTTTTGGGTGAACTTTTTTTTTTTTTACGGTGATATTTGAAGGTGTCTATAATGATAACAGGATTACATGCCCATTTAAATCCTCTTTCAATTCCAATTCCAATTTTTGACAAAATAATCACACAGTGACTTAAATTGAAAATTCCTACCAATAGTGAACAAAATGTGGTTAAAGTTATTTTTTTGTTGATCAGGATCTAGGTGTCGAGATGATGAACATTCAGAGAATGAAGTCTTCAGTGGCCAGGAGAGCGAGCCGATCTCTCCCACATCTCCATCCCCCACTTCCAATCAGGGAAGTCTCCCACTGAAGGTAATGCCAGCTCCTCCGCCTAAAGAAAACGCCTGGGCCAAACGCAGCTTGGGGGGTGGAGCTAATGAGAAGGAAGCACCACCCTCGGCAAATGCACCTATCAACAAAAGTGCTCCTAGACCCAACAGGTGGGATTTTTCTCACAGAGTTATGGAAGTACAATTATACAGTTAAAGTCAAAATTATTAACCTATTAAAGATGAGAGTTAATCAAACTCAGTTGTTGAAACAGATCTTCCGTTAAACAGAAATTGTGGGTGAGAAATATACAGGGGGGCTGATAATTTAGGAGGGCAAATCATTTTGACTTCAGCTGTAAATGTAAAACTGACAAGTGACATTGGCCAAAGTCACAGTCTCTGTTATTGTTTACATAGGTCAGCGGATGAGAGAGAATCAGGCAAGGGTAAAAGTCTTCACATTAACAATTTAACATAAGTGACAAGGACTTATGTGTGCAGTTTATTCACTTGTCCTTTGTTCTGTTTGCTAGATGAAAACCGGGTTGATGGTGTTAGAAAGGATAAAGTTTTGCCTGCAGGAAGAGGAGGGGGTGGAGGAGTTGGGAGAGGAGGAGGAAGCGTAGAAGGAGTAGGCAAAGGACGAGGAGTTGACTGTCCAAATAAAGAGAAACGGAGAGAGCCTTCAGACAGGCGAGGATGCTTTTACTAAACTAAATTTGTCATCAACTTAATAAATTCACTGCGTTGACAGCATGCTGAATTGAGGATCAGTATCAAAATCTGTTGTAGGGCAAAAAAACCTTTTCTAGATCTTTTTACCATGTAGATTGATCAAATCAACTTTAATGTAGAAAAAGAAAATAGTCAATTATGAGTGTCTTTTTAAGTAGAGCTGCACGGTTCTGGATAAAATGAAAATCACAATTATTTTTATTTAGCTTAAAATCTAATTCACGATTTTCTCACGACTCTGATGTAAAATAAAGATTAATACGAGAAGGATATTGTTCTCATACTTATGTCTATGCCTACTGTTGGTTAAAATGCTAAATTTTGTATAGACCTTGAATGGTGGACTTAAACAGACTTAAAATTTAGCCTGGTTGTTTAGCCACAGTGATTTATATGAGAATACAACCATTCATAATTCTAAAGTTGAATTGTTGTGTTCGATACATATGCTTGCAATCTGTTATTAGCTTAATTTCCATTCACCTATTTTTATGCACGTTTTGGTGATGCAAATAAAAAAAACTGTTGATGGAAACTCGTGATGCGCATACATTTTTTAAATGCACGTAAAAAAAAAAAAGTATGCGCATTACTGAGTAGGATAAACTTTTATCCAATAAGAAAATGTGCATAAACTGCGATGCAAACACTTTTACCGCACAATTTCCAGAATGCCCATCAAAAAAAGTCATGTGATTTTGTTATGAGATCATGTGATGACAAATATGTGTGAATGGATAAACCAGCAGGCGGAGCACATTCTAAAACATCGGAAATGTTGTTTTGGTCATTCTGAAACGCCGTAACTGTTTAAGTATAAGTGTTATTAAATTATTAATCACATCCAGAATCACGAGCGTCACCGCACGTTCACTGCCTGTCAGGATTGTCTTTTGAGGCACAAGTCATTTATTACATAAAGAAAAGATTGACGCAGCTTCTCCCGCATCAAATTCTGTTTTTACTGTTGATATTTGGCGCTAGATAATCAGCAATTATGTTCGCTTTGACTCGTTGGATGGAAACGCTGCTTTAGTAGCACATCTTTTATACGATAGTACAGATATGTGCATGAAGTTAATTAACATTTTTGAATGGAAGCAAAGCTATTGACAGCATTATTAGACATTTTTATTTACTGGTAAAATCAGACATTTGTCATTATCAAATTCTCTCTTGCATTCTGCTCAACATTATATAGACTACTGTAGTTATACTGACACTGTAACACGTTTATTTTCATGCACAACACTGTTCTCTATGAAAGATCAAACATCAAATGCTTGTCATAATCATAACTCTAAAATGCGATATGATCATTTAGTGGTGTGTGCGCTTTCAGTTTCACATTCACTGCCGATAGCGCTCATGTCATGGCTGCCATCACTTTGAGAAAGAAAAAAACATCGCGTAAACGTTATTTACAACTTTATTCACAGGCTATGCAGGTTCTGTTCACTAAAGTAGACATCATTCGTGGCCATATCTGCAGGCCTCTCAGTAGGCAACAAACAGTGCATCAACTCGCGGGTCATTTCGCGGCCACGAAAACATCATATGATTAAGACAGAACTTACATTTTTGGGTGAATTATATCTTATAAATACAGTAAGTGACTCTCTTAATACCATTTGGAGGTGTTCATGTTGCTGAGCAATGTATATAAAACAATGTGAAGACTTGTGTGACTGCCTTCTCTCCCGAGCTTGTAGATATTAATGGCTGAATCGTAGATATCCTGGATTAAGATTGTGTGGGGAGTTGAATTGCGATTGATCTTTTTCTGGTTAATAGTGCAGCCCTGTTTATAAGCTTGTTTTTAGATTCTGACGGATGTTGATGAGACAGTTTATGGTGTCCTTTGACTTCCATTTTTTTTTTTCCAACATGGAACTTAATGGTTACCATCAACTATATTTTGAAAGCAATTTTAAAATGTTATGACGTTCAAATGAGGAAAGAAACACAAATTGAGGGGGATTAAACAGTGAGTGTACTTATTTTAGTTTTGGCTTTAGTTACAAAATGATTCATTCAACTTTCAGTAGAAAGTTTTGCAGTTGTTATTATTTGATAAGTTCACCAATGAAGCAAAAGAGCAAGCTGCATTTTGTGTTCTTTAATAGCAACAAATAATAGTTTTAAGGTATTTTAAAGTTTATATTTTTATTTTTTAAGGATCTTTTTTTAAACCCTTTCATGTTTTAATTGACAGGAAGGAGGTCAAGCGGGACAAAGATCCCAGAATAGCCTCTGAACCAAAGAAGTATGAAGAGAGTGCTCCTCCTGTGAGTACTTCACCTGGTCTTGACCCCTCAATGAGAATTTCTTAAAGCATTTTCAATGTAGTCTAAGTTAAAAGAACCATTTGACCCTGCAAAAAACTGAAATTTTTGAAAACTTGGTGTTGTTCATCTTACTGGCACTTATTCAAAAGCAAATACTGTAAACATGGCACTCAGACTTGCTTTTTGTTTTTTTGTTTTTTTTTCCTTTCCATACAGAAGTTCAGCTCTGCAAGCAAGTACGCTGCCCTGCTAATGGACGGAGACCAGGGAGAAGAAGGTGATGGAGAGGAATGAACAATTAGGAAGGATCAACTACTACAGAAACACACAACAGGAGAAAATGAGCATGATCAAATTAGAGTTCCCTCATGCTGAAAGAATGGCCACAATGCTGTTTCTGTCACATTTATGGAAATTTATAAAGGTATTCCTGAAACTGGCCCATTTTAATAAAAAAATAAATAAAATAAAAACAAATCAGTGCAGTGAGTAGATGAATGCATTCACACGTGTAGACATTTAAAAATCATTGTTAATTTGAAAGTCATTGTTATAAATAAAAAGTATGTAAGATACTGTAACTTGTCTCTGTATTCCTCCTTTTTGTTCTTATCAGTTAGCATATGTAAAATATGAAGCCAGGTCAGTCTCAATAATAATACATTTACAACGTGTAATTCATATATCCACAACACAATTCATATTTACAAAATCCAATTTATAAATTCAAAACACGATTAAAAACTATATAAATCTCATTTAATGTAAAACATGATTCAGAAATATACAAATCCAATTTGCCAATTCAAAACACGATTGAAAAGTACATTAATTCAATTTGTTCATTCAAACTGTGATTCAAACAACTAAAAAATAGACAGATCCAGTTAGTACATTTAAAACTATACAAATCCAATTTAATTCAAAACATGATTTAGAAATACACAAATTCAACTCGTAAATTCAAAACATGATTATAAAATTGACATTCAATTCATAAATTAAAAAAATACACAAATACAATTAATTTGGCAAAAATATTTATGATTTTTACTTACAAATTGTGTGCATGTATGAATTTTATTTTATAAATAATTTTTAACTGATCTGGCTTCATAATGCTTATATAAATCTTATAATGCCTCAAATTGAAACAGTTTCCGCTTCATAGTCATTCAGTCATCTCAAACCTGTACGTATTGTCAAGTTCTCAAATGGTAGGATAGTGAACTCCCTCAAAGTGCTCTCAAACTAGTGTAATAGTCCAACACTGAGGCTGTGCAGATCCTCCCATTCCCTTGGTGATTGAGTATTGAAATAAGCTGTCCAAGACTCTTCATGCTTTTCCTTCCCTCAGAGCTATAATATATTACTTACCATAAAAGTCTTGACAGCTAAAAAAAATCCATACTTGGACTGCATGTGTGCCACTAGAAAACTGTTTTTGTAACATTCTAGAGCCATCTTCATGTTTTTGAGCCTCATTTGTTTCTCAAGGTGTTTTTCACATAAGTGCTTTATTGGATGGAGTTTATGGGCTGCTTTAGGGTGGGATGCTTGTTGCATTCTTTTGTGAGGTCATTTTGTGCTGTTGGTCCATGTTTTCCCAGCTGCCTTAACTGAACTCCCTTGCCTGTAACCGTTATGTGGACTATTTTATTCTTACAGAACTACTGCAGCACATATCGTCAGGTTTCTTTATTTCGAGTGAAATGAGTTGATCTGTTATGACATTTCCTCATAACATCCTTGACACTCGAGATGGACTGTGGCAATGCTCTTATAAAAGTGAATGCAACAACAGTGCTTCCACATGAAAAGGTTCCAGTGCTCTGTCAATTAAAAACACACTCTGGTGCTGTTGTGAATCAGATTTGATGAGAACAATGTTTTTGACGTCCTGATGGCTTTGAAAAAACTTAATGGCTCTGTGGTCTGCTGATATGGTTAACACAACCAGTGCTGGGTGGATGGCATGTAGTTGTATTTTACAGATTTCCTTTTGAAGGTTATGATTTAGTTGACTTATTTTAGTCGAATTTGGGGCTATATGCACACAGACTTTTAATTTCAGCCAGCCTCAACGCTTTCGGTGAACTATCCATTATGGGGGGCACTCGTCCGCAGATCATGGAGTAGTCAGGTTTTTTTTTTTTTTTGAGCTCCTCTCGTCACTATGTTTGAAATGTTTTCATAAGTGAAGTACTGTTAATCCTCTTTATAATCGATTGTGGCTTCTTTGTAAGATAGTTAACGTCAGGTGTACTGAGCTCACTGTGAAGTTGAAGTAAAAATTTCATTACTTTATGGATTCTTTCATCAGCTGAAAATGGCATCTAGAAAACTTCAAAAGGGGGGCTATCTTTCCATTATAAAATTGCCACGTTTAATGTCTGATCTCTTTAAAAAAAAAATTATAATAAATAAATTTTAAAAACATGTTCATTGTCTGATAGATATACGATATCAGACCGGACAAGAAGTTCTGCATTAAATTCAATTCTCCCCTGCCATGTCTATAAATTATGATAGTTTATTTTACTCCAGTATCTTCAATTGAGTTTTTGCTTTCGCCTGCTGATACTGACAGCACTAGCAGTTAAGCGGTCTTTATGTTTTATGCTTGAACAACTAAATGAATGCTTCTATTTACCTGAATCTATTGTAATTATATTACAACATCGATGCTGTCAAAGGAATCTTATGGAACTGAAAAGTCACATTAAACTTTCACCGAAAGTTAATCTTTGGTTGAAAAACATTAGCTGTGCATATACCCCATTCAGAAATAAGTAGAAATTCAGTATTTAGGAAATTTAAATCATGATATGACATGCTGTAAGATTTTTAGAAAGAAATGTTAAAAGGTAGGATGATAAAACTATAAATTATTTATGTGAATATGAAATCTTGTCCATAACCATAAACGGGCTATTGTAATCTCATTTGTAATGTGCTTCATTTTTGCATTACATGAACTGTATGCTAACCACAGCACAGCTTACATCTTATAGTTCACCTCTGTTTTATTTATTATTATTTTTAAATATGATTTGTTTCCAAAGTTGAAACAAAAGCTGTTTGTTTATGGGAAATTTAGGACAAATTTGTCTTTTTTTGTTTCTGAAACGTATCCTCATGCCATAATCTTGTCCATCTTGTCTTACTGTTTGCCTGTTTGGTCTCTCACAAAAAATCAGGGGCGTAGCAAGTAGGGGGGCACAGGGGGATATGTCCTCCTCCCTTGTTAGACCATTTAGAAACAGGTGATTAAGAATGTAAACTTTTTTTAATTTCATACAGCTCAGCTGCCCAGACCCCCAACCCCCCACCCCCCAATGGTATTTTTGCTAAAATAGCTAGACTACAATAGGGCCTATAAGATCCACAATAGACTTTCTGGTTGGACACATCACTGTTTTGCTCTATCACTCTCTAATGTTTTATCATTTCAAAATTACTTTATGAACACAGCGATTAAACTGAGTTATCAAATTTTAAATAGTGCTAACTCAGCAGCCCTTTGTGCTTTGGTACCAAAATTAACACAAGGACTGATCGTTCCACCAGATCTGCAATAAATGAATGTTTGCCATTAGCGGCTTTTAAAAACTGCTATGGACAGAGATCTTTCTTTTATGTATTCAAAAAAGCCTGGCATGAGATCCCACATCATCTAAAAAACAACTTAAAAAAAAAAAAAAAAAAAAAAAACATACTCCTCACCTGATGGTCACCTATTGCTGTAGCCACTCAGTTAAGTAGCCTGCTTCCCTCTATTTTGTATGTTTGGTGATTGTTTGTACTGTTCTCATGTGTTAAGGGATGAGATGGCAAGTGTGTCTGTATGTTTTTATGTTCTGCAGAGCAGGGACCTGCTGAAAAACAGCATTCATTCTGAGTCAGGCTCAATTACCTTTTATTATTTTCCTGTTTAAAAAGATTATAAATAAAAGTTATAGGAAAAAAAATCAGATGAGGTTTATTAATGTTTTGCCTTTTTTTTCTTTTTAGAAAAGAAGAAATGTACAAAATAAATGAGGAAGTAATCTGTAAGAGACTGGCATACAATACAAACTGTTAAGAACAAGAAGTAAAAATAAAAAATAGAAATGGGGAAAAAGAAATCATTAAGGAGAAGTTCAAAATTAAATAAACACAAACAACATCAAAGACCAACTTACTGGAAGCATAATATTTTCATAAGTTTCTATTAACTTGCATACTTTTTGTTGTTCGATGAACATAACTAAAGGGCCATGACACCCCCCACTTTCGGTTAAAGTCTACTCAAAATTATCCAGTTTTCCCCACAATTAAAGCAGACAGGTGCTAACATTGTCTTAACTGATGCTCAACACACACAAATCTGTAGTTAATATAAAAAAAAGTTCTCCAGTGTGTCCTGAACCTTTAAGCACGAAACAATTTAAATTTAAAAATGGGCAAATGAGGGAGAGGATTTAAGAAAAAAAAATTTGTGAATAAAGAATTTCGCATATAATATAAAAAAGTTACATATCTTTATTTTTATTTCTGGGACTAGAACAATAACAATAGCCTATCTTTCAATTAGAGGATTTGTTTTGTTGATTGTGATTTCTTCTGAGATTGTACATGTAACAAGTCAAAGTTTTTTCACTTTCCTGACAGAAAGAACAAGTATCTGCAATATCAGTAAATTAAGAGATGAATGTATTGAGGGTATATTAGAAAAATGAATTCCTTTTGCTTTGTTTGATTACACATTTATATGGGAGAAGCCATGTTCTTTTCCAATCAATATCTTGTATTATTGCTAAACCAATATGATTTCCCTCTTGGAGCGATAAGAATTATTTTATTTTTTATTTATTTTTTTTTTTTTGAGAATTTGAAGAATAAGTTTGTTGTTGCATTGTTTATCATATATACTAATACCTTCTAATAATAAACCAGGTTCTATGGTTATTTTATTTGTATAGTTCACACGAATTTTTGTTAAATGTATTCATTCTTTTGGGTTAGTGTTAAACGATGACGTTGGGTTTGTTTGCGCGCGCCATTGTTCTGTCGCCTGCTCGTTTAAGCGCGATCTCGTTAAAGTGTAATTTTGTGTCCGTTATAAGATTAATCCTTCAGAAAGTGATTACTAGTGTATGGTTGGTTCTGTAGGCGTAGTTAGTGGTTTTCCTAGTCAAATTCATAACGATATAAATCCGTGAACAAAAGTAACTTACTAACCGTTTTATAGAGATGGTTTCAATAGCTAGCTTGTTGGACGTTAATGAATATGCTAAGCGACTAACTTTCATTTTAGCCGTGGAGTGTAAATATTTTTATCAAGCTCACAATTCGTGTTTTTTTAAATTTATTTTATTTTTTTAGGTAAATTATGTTTTAAGAGCTTATAACCAGTGTCCATAGAATACAGGGAGGCATTTAAAGACTTGCTTGTGAGGCCAAAAGCAGGTATGTGACATTGAGTCTTGTGTGTTTTCAGCCTCTCGTGACAGATGCAGAGCTGTGTGTGTTTAGTGTGTTTTCTGCTGTGTCAGGTGCATGTAGCCTATGTGTGTGTTGTTTTTGTTGCCTGCTGAAC